AAGACGTATATGTGTATCATCGGCTGGTTCTATTAGCCTTTTCCCGGGCTTCGTTTTCCATGTCATGAAGTGGTTCTGGTGAACTCCAAATAAGCATGGGTAGTAGGAAGCCTTGATCGGCGCCTCGGACTCTTTATAAACGGCATTATATCGCCAGAAAGGTACACGTACCTGTTTAACCGAGTTCTGCGAACACAGGTTTCATTCGGCTGAGCTTTTCCTATATTGTGTATGTGTTAGGTTGGCGCGTAACTAATTTCAGGTGCTTTATCTAATACAAAGCGCATTGCTTCGCTTGAATTATAAGAACGACTTAATTTATTATGTGTTCGCTGTCATTTCGTACGACCTTCTCCCACCTCCCAAAAACGTATTTGCTCAATTGAAGTAAATATTTCCCAATCTGGTACTGGGCCAGTTTTTAAGGCGTTCTTCACTATCAGAACTATTATCACTAAACTGTGTTCATCTAAGGTCTGGAAAATACGGTGGATGCAGACGAACCTTTTTTTCAGGTTCTTGTCGTGCAACTTTCATAACTCTCGCCATGTGCGATACGGCAATATCATGGAGAAAAATTACCTTGCTTGGTCTATTTGCTCTACTTTGTGTAACTTCCGGCTTCGACGTTTCTTTCGAAGCTGCCTACTTTTTTCCCCACGTTGATGCACCAGTTCTCGTCAACGGTGACCATTCTATCTAGAGACCAGTCATCATGGCTGCGCTTTGACCGGTGCTAGGCGAGATGTCGAGGGTCGATGAAAAGTCGTTTGTATGTGCACATTTAACCCGCTTTGGACCTTCTTCAGGGTCCTGAATTCCAATAAAATTCTATATACTTAAGACCCTTGATGAAAGGCTAGTGTTCGCAACTTATTTCTCGACCCACTAACGAGCCGTTTGCGATCCGATATTTTCCATTGATCTCGGACAATCGGCCGAAACAGGGTGAATAGTTTTTGTCCAAGATATTATTTTTTACGAACCCCGTCGGACAGTTCTCTCAGTTGCATAACTTCCACCGTGTACGGCATAAATTAGGCTACCGACCTCGGTAAACGGCGAAATACAGCATGTATCAAAAACGATTTTTTTCACTAGAAGTCTTCATCTTTGGATCTCAGGCATAAAATTCCGCTCACTACACAACGAAATCTCAACAGACTTGAAAAGAAGAGAGAACACTTCTCACTGGGATATAGACGTAAGATGAATAGGGAATAATAAAAACAAACGAAACTTGCCTTTATTATCTATATATA